GATAAAAATACAGTTTTTCATTGGCTGTTGGTTTTAACTGGAGACAAAATTGCAAACAATAAAATAAAGTGCAGCTTTTCTTCTATAATCGCATAGAATTGGATATGTGACACTTGTGGGGAAGGGGAAACATATTTTGAAGAGATAAAGTGATTTGAAAACACAAACTACATTTATGTGTGGTCAATAAGTGTGAATTACCCCCTAGAGTTAAATACCCTGTGAAATCTAAGTTATTTTATTTTATTACGAATAAACCTCCCTTGTGATCATTTTACTTTTCAAATTAACTTCTAGCTTTAGTTAATTTTTGTATCAAACTGTTAGTAAAAAGTTGCTTTGCTCATTTTGACAGTTGGCTTGCCTTCCCTTAGGCTGACACTAAAACTCAAACGCCAATCCAGCCTCCTAATCTCTGCCTGCATGTTGCTGTAGAAAAATAATCAGTTCTGCATTAAATACACAACAGAAATGGACACAGCAAGTGAAGCCCCCCTCCCCCCCCCACACACACACACACACACACACACACTCCACTCCACCTCACACACAACTGAAACACTATAAAGCATTAAAGGCAGTCAGCAGCTACTTCACATTTCACCCTCATGTCCCGACTCTTCCATCTCTCAGATTTACTTCCATGGGAAGTGGGCTGAGCAGGAGAACTGTGTGTGCTGTTGGACTCTGAGTCAGCTGGGGTGAGGACAGAAATACCCGTCCTCCATGAGATGTAAATCATACACACCGCTGCATTAGTCTATGCTACGTGGTCTTTTACCATTACAAGTTTGACTTTGCACTCCTTCTCTTGTTTTCATCGATAACAGAAAACACGTCTTGCCTGTTTTCTTGTTGCCGGTGCTTATTTTGAGTTTTTGTATCGATTCAACATAATACATAGTGACTATGCACGCCACAGTTGGGGTAACAATGGATGTGAGTTTAAGGAAGTGGCTTCAGACTGCTGGTTTGACCAGACTGTCATAATAAGCTGGAACACTGTCTCCTTTCGTTTCTCAATAGCCTCTGTCGTAAACAGTCCCACATGTCCACCAAGACGGTTTAAAGATCCTGCCTACCACGTCTCACGAGGATGTGACCATACAATAATCAAGCCGGTGTTACGTCAAAAAGTGTTCCCCGTCAGACACTCTTTCCCCATCTAAGTATAGTAGATTCCTAGCCCACTCCTCAAATGAACTTTGACATTCAAGAACAACATTTATGTTTGACATACTGTATGTGTGAGCGTATTTTCCAGCTGAACAATGTGGAAACATTTTTTTTTAATTTCTGCCATCAGGATGTTTGCTGTGCTAAAAAAAGGGAAAAAAATGAACAATAAATAAGCAACTGTCTAGAAATTCTGTTGCTGCAGAGTTTGGGCGAAGTGTTTATGCTTCTTTTACCCTAGAAACACATTAAACTTAAAGCCAACTTCCTTTCAGAAATCACACCACCAGAAGGCATCTCAGCTTAGACAAACTATTTGGTGAAGGGGGCCGATGAGGAAACAGTTGTAGGCCAATAATCTTGACAAAGTTCCCATAACTTGAACAAAACACTGACAGACGGAAAAGAGGATGGCTGGAAAACAAATTCAGCTTTCCCAAAAGTTGCATTTTATTTTCCAGGTTCCTCAACATCTTCTAGATGCACCGTGAGAGCAGTAGATTGTCCATCAGACACGCTCAAGTGAAAGAGACAGACGTCAGAAGCCCTCTGTGGCATTTGAAACAACTCAACAAATACACACAGCAACACACACTCAATGTTTTTCTTGACAAAGCTTGATTGGCTTTGACCGGGTACTAAAAAAAAGAAATATAGCCTTCAATCAGAAGCGGCTGGATTTTCTATCAGAAAAAAAGTATTCCATACTCAGACAGCCTGTGTGTGTGTGTGTGTGTGTGTGTGTGTGTGTGTGTGTGTGCGTGCGCGTGTGCGTGTGTGTGTGTGTGTGTGCGTGTGTGTGTGTGTGTGTGTGTGTCGTGGTGGATAGTGAGTCAGCGATGTTCCCTGCTGTCTCAGAGGAAGCAGAATAGAGAAGAGCAATAACGCCCATACAGACAAAGAGGTAAGTGCACACTTGCAGCTAAAGAGACATCCAACTTAAGCTCATAAAGAGTTCAGGAATATTCATGATGGAACACACACACACACACACACACACACACACACACAGACACACACACACACTCTCACACGCAGAAATATACAAACATTGCAAGTGTGTGTTCTCATCAGCATCTTCCTAATGTGGAGACAGATGGCATGGCCATCTGCTCAATTGCACAGCAGAAACTTTTTAAGGCAACAGTTCTCTGCAACATCGCTCTGATCTAGAGCATTGATTGGCTGCCGGGAGCTCCAATCAAATGGACTAAAGAAAATGTTTGCTAACATGAATCCTACCCATCTCATTTTGTTTTTTGTACCAAAGCTGACCCGTTTCAGCCTGGTAGAGGCTTACTACCTCACCTGGTTTCAGCTAAAGGGCGCTGCTCTAGGGTAATCTGTAACCCCATTTTCATGCCAAGGCTTTTACAAGCTTAACTTAGAACAAGACCAAACAGGTCAGGTGCAGCTACATTTACACATTTTAAATATATCTTTAGATTTATAATATTTATATTTAATCAAGTTGATTATCAACGTACTAGGGCCTTTAAATGATAATTTTAACGTAAATAAACATTCACTAAACTGTCTAAATAGAAATTTAAATATCACTTTATTTTACCTTTATCTTCATTAACGTAAGAAATTTTTTTCTTAAAGATAAAAATGATTAATAATATTTTGAGTAGCACACATCTGATGCTTTCCGGTCTCCTTGGTGCAAAACTCGTCCTGGATTTACCCAGAATGCACCTTCCGGTCAGTGGGGGAGATTAATCTGAGACCTTGTTTGGGTGAGGTGGGAGATTTACAGCTTTAAGGGGAGGCAGAAAAGGCATGGAAAAAGGCTTTTAAGGCTGTAGGAAAGAGTGTGGGTGAGATGGGGGAGTGAGGGGTAACTGGGTGATCTGACCATGACGTGTTATTAGTCTAAATTTAGCAATTATACTGAAAGCTGAGGTTATCAACTGATTTACAAACAGGTTGAACTTACATCAATGAGGAAAGATCCCTCTCAAGTCAGTTCTTATTTATGGTCCCTGAATGATGCGGCTTGGGAAGTCATGTAAATAAGAAGAGGTAATTAGATCTTCGTGGATCAATGTAAAATCTGGCTGTACTTCTTAAAGCCAGTCCTTCTGCTTCATTCAGTGTTATCTAACTAATCCACTATAGTATAACAAGTTATATTTAACACAAGTTAGTAATTTATTCAACATTTTTGGACTTTTTATGCATTTTTCAACCAAAAAATCAAGTTGAAGTCTTCATTATTTTTTCTTAGAAAAATAAATTCAGTTAGATCAGATCTCTCTTTGATCCTTGTGCTGCAAAATAGGAAATATTGAATCAGAAATCTATTTATAAACAAAATCCATATTAAAGGCATGCTTGGAAATTGTGCTTGCTTTTAGCACCCCCTAGTGTCTGTTTAGTGGAATCAAAAGCAAAACGTATCTCCTCGCTGTGCATTCGTCTTTTTAACACCTTAATCTAACAGCTGAAATGTCTCTCCAGCCTTCATTAGTGTCTACAGGGGTGACTCATCACTAAATTAACAAATCAGCTGTGTTCACGATCCAAAACATGCAGGAAATGTGCTGGAAGCAGACTGTAGCACCAGGTATGTCAGCTCCACTTTTACTAAAGTCCAACAAAACCGGCACTCTGAAGTTGCAAGTGCGATATTCTGGCTACAGAGGGCAGTAGGGGTCTGAGTGGCATTTAATTAACTCAGTAAAGGGTAATTTTAGCACATATTGGCTCAAGAAAATGATTTATATTTTTGAAAATGTTGCAAAGTATGTCTTTAACAAAATAGTAGAAATATATGTACTTTCTCTAATTTACAGTTTACACTTACTTAATACTATGAAATGTTTGAAACAATCAAACTCTGTAAATGTAGGCAACAACCTATTGAAACAATGTTCATTAGTTACAAACTTTAATTCCCTCTGTTGCCAGTTCCAGCCTTTAACAATCCTCATCCAAACAAACAAACACACACACACACACACACACACACACACACACACACACACACACACACACACACACTTAATTATGGCACTTCAGACAGCTACAGCAGAAACGTTAATCTGGCTACTAATTTTCCTCCATCATAAAGATAAAAACAATCTTCTAACTGGTAAACAACCTAATGAAATCAGTGTAGTTCTTGTGCTTCCTTTTATGCTACTGTAAAACTCTTAAGTAAAAAACCTTTAAGTGCAGCATCTTTCAAATCGGTTTTCAAACAACATGTGTGCTTCTGTTGTTTTTCTCTGGTTTAAGTGTCCATGTCTTCTTTTGACAAGTCCATATAACAACCCACTTTTCTTTTTATTTCCCAGTTTAGATACAGCCAGGTCAAAGATCACCAGGCACCTCCACAAAAGCAGCTTTAAAAGTACAAGTTTGTATTGCTGTCGACGTTCTATTAACCTGAGGGTGACGAGCGTAACCATAGCAACCCCAACACATACACAGGAAGGGTTTTGAGGTGTTCTGACAGATTTATTACCAGCAACATGTCCCAGACAACACTCGAGTTCACCTGACCAGCTCTGTGAGAACCTGTGAGGTTACGGTTTAGAGTCACATCCAGCAGATTCGTCCCGTCACACCCATCTGAGGGACTGTAAATCTGGAGGGTTTCACCCAGACCAGACTAGCAGCAGGTTCACACACGAGGAAACACGACAACAATAATAATAATAATAATAATAATAATAATAATTAATAATAACTAATAGAGAAAGGAGCAAAGCAAAGTTGTCTTGAGAAGGGTTGGATCGTGGTTGTTAGCAGTGATAGTGAATAAAATGCGTTTCGTCCCATTTGTTTTATTTTCATTTTCAATTCAAGCTTGATTTATTGTTTTTTTTTGTGAGGACCAAATCAGCTTTTATCTTCTAAGTTGGCATCATAATTAGGGTTGCAGCTATCAAATATTTCTTTAATCGAGTACTCTATCAAATCTTTTATCGATTAATCGAGTACTCTAATAAATGACCCTTTTGTGTTTGTAAACCATTATATCAAATAGCATGTTATAAAATATGAAATACCTCTTAAAATGAGCAAACACTTGCCAGTTATTCTTCAAGTTTTATTCCAAATTAGTTTTCAAAACTTCAGCACTTCAACTTTACTTCACAGTAAGACAAAAACTGGGAGGATAACTGTTTAAGAAGCGCTGCGAGTGGCTGCGGCCCAAACAGCACCAGAACCGCTCATACCGCATGCACAAACATGGCTCGCCAGCTATTTCTCTATCATAACACGTCCGTTTTAATTTCTACACTTTTTATCTCACACAATAACAAGGATTGTCGAGAAAGCATGTTTGCCGTTTCAGCCCTAATCATAATACAAAACTTCAACTACTTCAACCAGCACATTACAACTGTTACATTATATTCTGGATTATCTTCATATGTTATTAAACCCTGGACACCACGGTGGGGTTAAAGTCCCATTAGCCATCATCACACACTGGTGAAACTACATTTCCACCTTTGACCCATCCCAATAAGGAATGGTGATCTGCAGCTGTGACTGCGTTTGGGAACTATTTGGTGGTTTAACCCTTCAATTCAACTCCTTAAAGAAGTTGTAACTCCCACTCAGAGTCTTACTCCACCCACGTATCAATTTTAAAAAATGCAACATTAGTAGGCGTTGCCTGGAGGACCGAGAGGGCGGAGCCGCGGCAGTGACGAAGACAACGGCTAACTAGACGATGCTAGCTCCCTTCACTCTGAGCAGTCATTAGAAGTGGAGGACGTTTCTCCCCCTCCTTACCCAGACACTCGAGAAGAAAGGGACCAAGTCTATTTGGAGGAGACAAGCGGACCTGAGCCTTATTGTTTTGAGCTTGTGAGTTGCCTGAAACTACCGGAACTGACCCAACAGAACCAGCTCTGAATGGTAAGTAGCCGTTAGCCATAGCATTGGATTAGCTGCAGGGTTTGTCTCCACGGCCCTGGAGCTAGTATTCAGCATGTTTTAGAGGTTTATCTGCTTCAACACACCTGATTTTAATCAGCAACAAATAGTTGAGCTGCTTAACAGCTAATCCAACCTGTTAAAGCAGGAAAACCACTGAAACGTGCTGGATAGCAGGTCTCCAGGAGCCTTGGGCTCAAGTTACAATCTGCTGCATAGAAAGTTATGAAAATACCCCATGAGAAAATTATTCTGTAATGTGTTCAGCCCACTAAAACTGCCCTGATTTCTTTATTTACTAACAACAGCTGCTCTCTCGGTTCTAGGTCCTCTGGTGTCTGCAGCTGGTCTGGTGTCGTCAGGATCAGGAGCTTCCAGAAGAATGTGCCTTTCAATGACTCTTTCCCCCTTATTTGTTATATTAATTAAATAAATCTCAATTGATATATTTCCTATTTTTGTTCATGTCCATAAATACTTAAACATGCTTGAAATTAAAACGAGCTTTTAACAGTGTGGTGCTAGTTTAATTCATCACAATAGAGCTGGTTAAACATGCAACAATGTGATAATTCAATTAATGTAATTTATAAATATCCATTAAAATATCAAAACTGGAATCAAAATGAGATATTTGGCAGCACAAAAAACTTGTCAAACACAATATTTATTATAATAATTGTGGGCAGACAGGAGACAGAGCTGATGGAGGTTCTCAGTCATCGAAGGAAGGCTGAAGGCTTTCCAGGAACAGGAGATGTGGTGTTGTCTCTTCTCTCTCTATTCTGCCAGATGAGCTGATAGGTTACAGGTGTGTGAGGACATCCTCATGCTGTCATAACCAGATGACAGGAGTTATCAGGTGATCAGCCAGGCTAATGATGAGATACAGAAAGAAAAGAAATCCAGGACAAACAATAATATGTGGTATTGCTCACCTTATGTGCTCTTATAAGTATTAACGTGTGCCTTCCTCATGGTGTAGAGTCCATATTTTGCTGAGTGTCCTGCAATAATGCAGGTTATTAGTTAATTTACTTTTGATAGCAAAAACAAAATATTTAATGTAAAAGTTATTTACCAGGTGAATCAGCTCACACGTCACCACCAAGCGTCACAGGGGCAGAATCAGTAGCCTCCTTCATGATGTCATGATGTAATCACATACTAATTTAATTGTTAATATCTTAAAAATTCAGAAATGTTTTAATTTTTTTACCTTGACCAGTTCACTGAGCTTGCACTGTCACTGAGGTGGAAGCTGGAATCAACAGCAGACACCTCACATCTTGGTCTTTTCAGGGGTGTGGACGCTGCTCTGGGACTTTCTGGAAGATGAATTTCCGTCATGGTCCCCGTGTCACCAGACACACTGCGGCTGTGAACTCCATTCTGGCTGGCTATGTACAAAAACAAAGAAGTAGCACATTTATAAATGTTTAAAAGAGCATAAAATCACATGTAACAATAATCTGTAAAACAAATTAAAACTAGAAGGTAATAATAAAATGTTTACATAGAAGATTATTAAAAATAATTCACCTTTGCTACGCCGGTAAGGCTTCATGTCTGCCTGGACAAGTGCATTCTTGCAGCTAAATCAGTCTGACAGCCAGTGTCTTGGGTAGATTTAGCCTGAAAAAACAAATAGAAGCACATTGTTGTTGGGAGTTTATAAAGTCAGATAATATACAAAAGATACTGCCCTATATAGGTGCTTTATAACATTCCTAGTGTGTGATCGTTGTTATAACGTAAAAGTCAGTCACATATGATGTGGAGAGCCTGAAATGCGACCTCCTGAACGGAGTTCCTTACAGAACCGGGTCACAAGCTGGATTTCACACTGTAATGCTGTCTGTCAACTAGTGCTGCGTTAGTTAGAGACACTGTTGCAGAATAACCGACTGACTAGCTAAATGAAGTGAACCACGTCTCTCGGACTTTGCATTTAGGTAGGGAATTGTCTTTAGAAGATGTTAAAACTTTATTTAGCTGACTCACCTCAGACTGTAGCCCGCCATGGTGGGGGAGCAGAGTCGGTGGGCTGCATCTAAATCACGGAAGAGCCACGGTGGGCAGCCTCCCTCTTCAAACGGAGGCGTGCAGAATCGCGGATAAAATGCCCACAGATCCACCGCAACCATACTACACTACACCATCTCACCATACTAACACGATATGGAGCACTAAACCTGAACTACTTTCCTAATTACACTAACAGCCAAACACTAACTAAACTACAATATCCAACAGCCAAGCTAACACTAAATAAGTATTTATAACACTAAAAGCTATGCTAAAGACTAGGATATGCTAACGCTATATGCTAATGCTGAACTACGGCTAACCTCCTACACTCGCTTGCAAATCATACTCCCAACTCGCCACAAGGTGTGGCCGAGATGCTTGTTGCTTTTATAACTTTGACACAGAGCTGCTACGTAGTACTCTACTGGTTTACGTAGTATCTTACTCTTTAGCCATTGGCTAAAATTTATTCAAAATGAGTCAAATTCTATGTTTTAAGCTGAAGGTGGTGCTATACTGTGGTATTTAGGCAGAATTTTTAATTTTTAAAGAAAATGCACCAAAATGCTAAAATAATGAATACACACATTTAAAGCACTATTAGACACTCATTTATACAGTTCATCAGCAAAAAAAAGTTAATTTAGACGTTACTTGCTCTTTAAAGCTGAGTGTCAAGCAGGGAGGCGTTGGGTCATATTTTTTAAGTCTTTGGTATGACCTGACCAGATCTGAACCCAAATCTCTCGGTCCCTCGGCTGGGACTACCTCTACACCACTGAAAAGGTACACAAGTCTGAATATCGTGTTTTCCTATCATCCAACAGCAGTAGCTCAGGCTAACATTAGCAGTAGCCCAAGGTTAGCATTAGCATTTGCTTGGGCTAGCATTGTCTGACCAATGTTTATATATAAAGCTGGCGCTGAAGCAGGTTGGACCATGCAGATGTAAGAGTGTCTTTATGACGTGTTAAACCAAACGAGAGCAGCCATTACAACGTTACTAATCTACACAGGAGAGCAGGTCAGAGACAACAGACTTTTGGTATGCTACTAGACACCCAAACTGCCTATATTCAACAACAACAAGGTAAATGTGGTTTTAAATTCTAACATAGGTTAAAATGAAGGAACTTGGACATATGTTGACCTAAAGCTCACATCACGGTTTGTTCATTACTTGTCTTATTGTAAATCCACACTTCTTGTCTGGCTTCTTTGCTTTCTGTGTGCATAGTTACTGACATAAAGAAAAAAAGAAGAAAATAAACTGAGTCCAAAATTAATTTACCATGTCATAAAAATCACTTTACTCAGATGGCCATCAAAATAAATGTACCACAGCTAAACTGTGACTCAGTTTAAACATCTGTGTTCAAACAATCTAAAGGTTAAATACACAACAGTAAACATTCAGTCCACCCCTCTTTATTCATATGAGGAAAGAAAGCTGTGAGTCAATCTACATGTTATAAGTCAAAGACATAAGAAAAAAAACATGGGTGATGGAAACAAACTACAGTCAACTAATGAAATGACAACAGGAAGGAGCTACATCAAAGGATGAAGGCAAGATGTAAGGAAGCAGAGAACAGAGGCCAAAATCAATTGGAAACATTAGGAGCAAGGGGCCAATATGAACAGATATAATAAATAAATGAGAAAGCCAGACAGATCATGGTAATTTAACACGCTGCTGTAACATAATCTCACTCTCTAAGATTATGGGATGGCAGCCCAGACAGCCCTTCTCACCCAGACCAAAGTTCTCTCCACTTTGATTAAGGATGCATACTCAGAGTTAGGATTGTCACGATACTAAAATTTCAAACTCGATTCGATACTGGGGAAAAAAACTCGATTTCGATACTATTTAAAAACACCAATTTATTGAATAAGTTTATTCAAAAAATAACATTCCTCAATTTATATTGCAAAAATTAAATGTTAAGAATTAAGTGTATAAAGTGCTTAAACCTTTCAAGTATCAGCATTTTTTAAAACGTGCATACAAAAACTGGCGAAAGTTAACACTTTAAATCATGAATTGTCTCACTATATATACACTATTTGCAGAGTGATGTTTTGCTGCTTAAACTCTGTTTAAGGTGCATTTTTGTCATAAGATGGAATGCCATATGTTTTGTTCTGTACTTTTGAACAACTCTGTTGGTCAATAAAGGGAGAAAACAAATTTCTCCACAGTAGGACAAAGGTACATCTACCGGTAATCTTAATAAAAACAGATTGGCGCATGGCAGTGACGTCAATAAAAGCGCCGGTTAATTAGCCACAGCTAGTCTGTTCACGCCTAGAAATCCCAGACCCGCTCCAAACGAACAGGGGGATCATGTTAATGATTCCTAACAAAACCTTTCGACATTGAGATGTTTTGGTGCAGATAATGTCTTATTTCGAGGCTGCACCATGGGTTCCTGTCCGCACCCGTTATATGGATATACACTGATGGCGATTCGCCGATGGATCTAAATACCCCGGGGAATCCAAGTAGCACCAAAGTTGTCAGCGTGAGTAAACAAACGTACTGCATGCTAGAAATTAAGTCCGGGTTGCAATAAACGGGAGTTTTCCTTTAAGCACATAAGCGTGAATATACAACTACGTGTCGGACTTGGTATGCTAATTAAGATGGACTGTGAAGCACCTCCCAAATTCGCTGTTTATGTTTTTGTATATTTATTTGGCAGACAAAACTTGGATCGGAGACAACTCGCGTGGGAAATTGCAATGTAGCCATGCGCCGTCTTCTTCTTCTGTTTGTCTGGGAGGCGGAGGTTGCTTTCCGGCATCTGGCTGTCGTGCGTGTCGGTGTACTTGAAGAAGGCTGTGTATAATAGTCCATAATATCGATACCACAGGGATGGAATATCTAATTTAGATACCACTTTTAGCATCGATTTATATCTAGGTATCGATTTTTCGACAACACTACTCAGAGTTATTGAGTAGCAACAGGTAAAGGCTGGCTCTCAGTAAACCCAAAAACTCACACACAAAGCGAGTGACGTTTCTTGGGTTACTACACCATGCCGGCTGTTCCTCACGCTTCCTTCGTCTCCTTGGAGATGGTTAGCATGGCAGGACTGCATGTGCAAAACACGCACATGCATAAACACAAATAATCACCCCAGCGCTCATTCAAATCTGTGAATTGTCTCAATTGCTGAAATTGGAGTGGCAGAGAAAAAGGAGGTTGACGCAGCCGCACAAGCCGTCCTCGGTTGAACCACACACACACACACACACGGGAGCACACACTCGCGTGATACCATCCCCATGTGGGCACACACATGGAGACTGAACGTGTGAAAAAAGAAGGAGTGGGAGAGGAGGCCAACTGCTCTGACAAAAACGGAGCTTGCTCTGCATTCAAATGCACCGAGGAAGGCCTTCCCAGCCACTGTGCTCCAAAGAAAAGGAAGAAAACACATTAAGTGATGAATCAAGACCCTTCTCTCTATCTTTCTCTCTTACCTAATGCTCTTCCTCTCATTTCAATGCTCCTTTCCTTTCCTTTCTCATCTACTGCATCTAAGTTAACCATCTGTGCTCCTTTTTAAGCTATCTTCATTTCAACTATTCTTTCTTTCTCTCTCAGTTCCATTCCATTCTTTTTCCTGCATCCTTTCTTTCCTCCCCACTTCCCTTATTTCTTATCTGAAAGCAACTCTGGGTTAAAACCTTATTTTAACACTTGCTTTCTCTGTTTTCTTTTGCAAAGGCTTGAATTAAATTTCTGTGTGTAAGCTGTCAAATCTGTTGGAATCCTGTCAAGATGCTTCTATTCCAAAAATGTTGTGTGAAATGCAAACCAGCATTTATGTCAGAGGTCTAGCACTTAAACTCCAGTCCAATAGGTGGCAATAATGCACCAGATTGTCAATGTGGAAGAAACTATGCAGACAGAAATCCTCAAAAGTAATTTGCTGTAGTTCATGTAACTTGGTCTCTGTTTTACTTTTTCCTGACGTTTTTTGTGTCTTTGGTCTCAACTAGTATTAGCAGTTTAAAGCTGTTATAGCAAATCTGCAAACAAGCTAGGTTTTTAACACAAAAACAATCACAGAACATTCACCCCTCCCCTCGGGTAACTTCTCTGGATCTGTGTCCACCGAAACCCACATTGCCAGAGGAAACGAGATAGCCCTAAACACCAGTCGCCGTTTTCTAGGTCCAAACATCTTTTGTTGTTCATGACTTCAAATTTTGTTTTTCTGTTTGAGACTCTGTTAGTTTGTCCTAAATTTTAAGTGGTAGCAGCTGGCTGTTTCTTCTTCTCTGATGTTATTGAGCGGATAACCTGTCACACCAGACAGCCGAATGTTCCAAAAACGTGTTACCACTTTATTCTTTTCTTCATGGTTATTTTTTATCTCCACATTATAATTTTAGATATACTATGTTAGAACGTCATTAAGAGGCATAAAAATATAGTAAGCTGGGTTTTTTTTTTCTTATAAAATTTGCTGACTGCAGAGGAACCAAGTGGACCTTCTCAAACTGAAAAAGCATACATTCGAGGTCTCATGGTCAATTGGACAATTAGACTAAGATTTGCATCAAACCACAAAATTTACTTGATCTTCACCCACTCTGAGCTCCATAATACTCTTCATTCCTTTTGCACCCTACCACCAATTTCAGAGCTTCATGCTTTTCTTTATGGTGACCCTCTCCACTTTGCCCTAGTTTTTGCTGTCCCTCCTCTCGTCTCTCCACTTTGCTCTCCTCTGTGCCGTTTTTCCCCAGTCACCCCATCACCTCCATTCATTTGGCCACTCCTCCCTCCTCTGCCGTCCATATCTGCTGATATGCAGCAGTCACGAAGGGCGCACAGCCTCTTGTCTGAAGGACACATGGTGGCGGTGAATGCAGCATATGCCGCTATGCAGCACAACATGTGAGAGCTTAGCATGGAAACAGTGCAGCTATAAATATTGTATGCAGCCGGCGCAGTGAAACCTGCCTCTGCCCTCTGGAGAGCCGCCTGCTATACCTGCAAGAATAACCGACCAAAAGAAACAGAACTACACTGAGTATTATTGAATTCTGCTTACAGCTGTGTAATCCCGTCTCTTTGTGTCCCTCATTTATTTATAGACCCCAGAAGCCGTTAGTATTCCACACCAAGGTCTTACTATATGGCTCTGAAGGTCAGCCTTGAATGATTATTTTTGCGAATACTAAATGTGTCAGGCTGCAAAAGGTGTGTTTTTTCTTGCAATATTGCTCTACATTCACCATGTGTGAAGTAACATAAGAGAAAGGTTATTTTCTGCTTCAAACATGAGCAGAATGTTTCAAATATATTCAGTTTGATGATGATCATTTGGCCCATGTTAGCTAAAATGATTCACACTCGCTAAAATCAAACTTTAGCACTTGCAACAGAACAGTTTCAGCTTTGAACTGTTTCCAAGAGAAAGAAATAGTTCTTCTGGTGATTACATGTTTATATGCCCCTTTTACATAAAAGCCCACTTAATGAAATGTGTTTGTTCTTTATAGATGGACTTATTACGGTTGCATCTATTGCTCAAGATTTTCTCATTGGAATTACTTTCAGCGTTCTGCCAAAAACCACTGCTGACACTTAGCTTGTGCAAAACATCATGCCTCAACATTATTGTTGATATTTCCAATGAATAGCTCTACTGATGGGTTTCATCTCTTCAGAAGAGCTATTCATGGAAATCTGGTTGGGGAAAATCTCAGGTTAGGCACACACTTCTAGGAATCATCGTCCTTGTTGGGCATAAAATGTGACTGATTCTGTTTTGATTTGGTTTAAGATGGCTGTGCTTCTGCTTGTACAAATGTAATATTTCTAAGCGATATATATATATATATATATACATATATACATATATATATATATATATATATACATATATACATATATATATATATATATATATATATATATATATATATATATATATATATATATATATATATATATATATATATATATATATATATATATATATATGTATATATTGTGTTTTGGGAATTTTTCTACTTGAAGTATGTATTAGAAGCATTTCCCAAAAAAATGTAGTAGAGTGAACATTCAGTGTGTTACAACATTTATTTGAAACTATTTTCCTGAAGCTTTGGTTTTTGTCAAAGTCTGATGGATGAGAATGTGTTTCTCATCCCCAGGGCTCAGAACAATGAGCTTGGCCCAGATATACAGGAGGCTAGCCAACGGTACAAGCCCAAACTACACAGCCCTCCATGATGGCGGATATGTGCTAACTGATGGATAAAATTTGATTTTGACTCTGCCAATTTTTGTTTAAACTTTGCATTTATTGAACACATGAAACACAAATTGATAAAGAGATACTCATACTTATTAGGGGTTTATGCTGTTGTATTTCTAAGTGAAAGAAGCTCAGAGATTTTTGAAACCCTTACCACAGACCAATAGCCTGGCAAGCCATCCTATATATGTGAATACATAGTCTGGCCATGACATCTAGACTAAGCTCGAACATGAGATGTTTTCTCCAAATGCAATTGTACATGCTAGGACCAATCAGAGCTACGGACAATGTAACATATTCATTGCTATGTAAATCAGTCAACGGGGCAGTCGAAGGAGAAGAAGTACCTCTGTCAGCTCATGTCCCAAAGAAAAAGTCTAAATCGTCCAAGTTAAAGCCAAAGCTGTTTGAAATAAGCGGCGTTCCTGAACTGCCGGCCATCTTTGTTGTTTTGTTTTGTTT